GTTTTACCATCAGGACGAGAGGTTTTGCAACCTGGCACCGGGGGGCAACTGCTATCCAAACCCATTTCCCAAGGAGTTCAGCAGCAACAGCCTTTCTGGCCTTTTCCACAGATGCTGGGGATCTAGATGCCTGCATGGTGTAGGAGGGCTGTGCCTGCCTTTCCCAGGGCTTTGCCTGCCTTTTCCTCTGGCAAAGCACATGGCTTCACCAACCTGTACACCTGCTTCCCAGCTCACAGGGTGGGGGGAGGATGGCGGAGACTCCCCACTTGAGCACCGCCTGTGCACCTGACTGCTAGTCCTAGTACAGGGGCCATGCTATTCGAGGTAGCATTTACCTTGGTGCTTGTTTTTAGGAGGCATTTGTGGTCCTCTGGAGGTTTAAAACCTACCTGCAGGTGCATGGGGCTCACCTGAAGCTGGGTACTTTGGTGTGGTGAGGTCCATGCCTGGCACAGGCTTCAGTTCCAGGGCAGTATGGAAGGTTGGGATGGAGCTGTGGTCCAGGTGATGGTGACCTGGGTGTGGAACAGGTGCTGCACGTCCCAGGTTCACTGGTGAGACACCTTGGCAGCTAATTGCTAACAATGCCTTACTCAGTTCCAGGGAGGCCCCAGACGTTCGCGCAGAGCTCCAGGGAGGCAGCAAAACCTGGTGTGAAGTTCTAAGGAGGTAACAGATGTTGGTGTGGAACGGTAGTCACTGCAGGGGTGACCTTGGCCTGGGATCCCGGACATGGGGTGCACTGGTGTGACAGCTGGGCAGCTGGCTGGGTGACCTTGACCTAGAATGGGCATGGCATGCCTCAGGTGTGCTGTTCTGGGGAAACTCTGAATCAGGTATGGCCATGCACTCCCTGAGGGGCCTGGAACAGGTGCTGAATATCCCAGAGGTGTGAGTAAAATGAGGGGGCAGCCTGGGGGACTGTACGGGCTGTGACTTGGTACTCCATACTGGATAAGAGGACACTACTGGTGGAGCTCCCAACCATGACAGTCCTTTAGTCGGATGTGCTGGAGCTGGGCTAGCTGACCTACCGGCTACAGAGCATGGAGGCCTTGGAAACTCCACTATACCTGGATGCTCTGTTTTGTACCAATGGGGTTCACTTATTTGACTAGGATATGGAGGATTGGGCTATAAGGCATTAGGGAGGCCCTACGCATTTGGCTACAGCAGTAGGAGCATGGGTGGGAGCCGGGTGCCTGAGGCCCGGCTCTTGTGGTGGTATCAGCATGGGGCCAGTTCCATTATCAGTAAAGCTGACCTGCGCACCCATTTTCCTGAGTTAGGGGATCCTCGTAAGGGATCTTGACATGAGGGTCAAGTGGTATGCCCAGCCTGGGGGAACAGCTGGAGATTACCCTCATGCTCAGATGGCAGGGGAGACCATGTCAGCAGGGTATAATGCCAATACAGTCCTCTTCCAAAGCAGACCTTTGGAAGAGGATCTCAGACCTTTGGGGACGGATCTCAGTCTTCTGAAAAGCAATTGTAATTCCAGCAGATCTCCAGGCCCCACCTGGAGACTGGTGACCTACAATTTGGGCAAGCATTTTTTTTTTAATGCCCGATCTCTGTGAATGCTTGCTGACATGATTTTCTCCCCACTCATTTGTGAGGGCGGGACACCACATGAGCAGGGCTTGCAAAAGTCTGAGTGTTGGAGTACAACCTAGACAGCAACACAACCTGCTTATGACAACCTTTGTGAAGGAGGACAGCCTTCTCCATCTCTTTGATGATCTAGTCAACTCCCTATAACTCTGCATATGACACGCTGACATATATTAGCTGGTTCATTTATTTTTATCTTGTTTCATAGCTTCTTAGGCTATCAGTTGTTGCTTACAATGTACACTCCCCCAAAATAAAAATAAAATGCAAAATATAATAACATAAAAGTAGCTGCTCCAAGACCAGCTAAAATGCCAAATGGTGGACAATCCTCCCAGCCAAGCAATTATTTTCCCTAAAATGGAAGTTTTACTATCTATCTGACATCTGAGAGGGAGCTTGTCTGATGTGCCCTTTTAGGTAAGGGTTTCAGGTTTTCCTGCAAACCTGTGGTGTTTTTCAAGTTTGTAGAAAGATCTATCTTTGTTCATGGTTCCAGTCTCCAGATTTAAGTATCCTGGATCCACAAATTTGGCCATGTTGAAAATTAGATATATTCAGGGGTCCTTTCCTGCAGGAGCGCACAGGAGCGGAGCTCTGGCAGTAAAGAGCCCGGGGGGGGGCACATGCAACAAGCCCCAGCCCCTGCTCCCAGCAGCCCCAGGCCATGAGGAGCATGAGGATCTGTGCGTTCCCCCCCCCCAATAGCTAGCAATCCAACACAGTCCAGTGAAGCCTGGGCAGTGGGTGTTGCCTTCTGACACACTTACGGTGATGTCAGGGGTGTGTGGCATATGCAAATAAGTTATGCTACTGAGTTATGCTAATGAGCTCCTGCACCTCTTTTTCTACGAAATGACCCCTGGATATATTGATGAAGTTTTGAATAAACTAGTATTGTGACTTGTGTCTTTGTTTAGGGGGAGGCATCTGGGTCAATACTATGTTGTACAGTTCAGGAACCTTAAAAAGACATCCCCTTCTGTGTTTCCCTAAACATATAGTGTTGGATCCCACTAGCTTTTCTGGTGGTGCAAGAGGCAAGAGTGACCTTTTTAACTGCGAGAAGGCCATGCTAGGTATTGTGGGATCCACATGGGCAAACAGCCATGCAAAAAGGGGACTGTAGAGAAGAAGAGAATAAAGCAAAATCAGCCCTCGTTCTTCTTGCACTAGCAGAAAAGCTGGCAGCACAAACGAGCCTTTTCTGACAGACTTGTTCCCCTGAGGGCACATTTTTTTGTTTTCCATTGTCATGTCGCCTTGTGAGTGAATAGAACTGTGAGTGAATAGAACACCACCTCAACTGGGTTTCTGACAGAAAAAAGTCAATGTTGTTGTTGTTTTGTACCAGTTTCTGTTTAATGGTGGCTGTAGCTTTTTGAAGGCAAATAATGGAGAAGAAATTTGACCTCCCAAGCCCTGTGAATTGTGAAGCAAGAGAACAGACAGGTCATGACAATATAAGAAAATGATCTCTTGCACAATTGAAATTGCAGGTTTATATTCTCTCTTTTTAATGGTTTTCCAGAAGACTTCACAGCTCATTGTAAGAAGCAATCTTAGTTCTTTGCGGCTTTAAACTTGTAGATTTAGAAAAATAATTCCTTTTTAAATGAAATTCCGCTGGGTGGAACAGACCTCCTAGGACTGTGTTTTGAAACTGCTTGTGACTGTAAAGAGAGCTACAGTTAATTTATTTCAGCCTGGACTATAGTCAATCAGGAGGACATAATACTGACCAAAGACTGAGATCTTCCATAGATGAAAAGAGGATATAATTTAATGCATGTCAGCTCTAATTTAACACTTTTGATCAGAGGAACAAATGTTCCTTTAGTAACATTTCATTTTCTCAGCCTGTTTGAGGAGGGTAATAGATATGGTCTGTGCTGCTGTTGACTTAAGCTCACACTTTTATTCTAACCTGCCCTTGCTAGCATGCTGTCTTTAAGAATGACCTCTGATGTCAATTCCCATGAAATGAAACCTTCACCAACAGGGTTAAGGATCTCTCAGCCACATGCTTGCTGGTCCAAGTTTTCCCTACTAAGCATATGTGCATGCGTGCATACGTGCGTGTTTCGGGGGGGGGGTACACTAGTCCTAAACCTGTTCTGGATCACTCTGCAGCTACTTTTAAAACACATGAAAAGAGACAAAGGTCCAAACACAGATGTCTAATGTTTTATCTAGTCTGGCTCTAACCCTCAGAAATTGATATTCTTTCCAGCGGATTCTCCTACTTTGTTTCAGGATGGAGAGAAGCAATTGCAACTACAAAGGATTTGAGTCAAAGCACGTACCTATTTACACAGAGTTTGTTTCCTTCTATTTTGGGTGACTATATTCAATATCTGTAGTGTCATTTTCAAAGTGTTCTACATATCCAGGCAGGTGGAGAGTATGGTACAGAAGAAACAGAGTGAGGGTAGCAGGTTCTTTGGGCCCTATCTGGCACTTGGCAACTCCAGGTACTGGTGTGATGAAGTGCTAAGGAAAGAGCCTTGTATGGTTTACCATTTCTGGAAGAGCAATGGTTTCGGGTGGGTGCTTATGGACTGAATTTTGTGCCAGGCTCAGAAATCTTTCTAATACATCTAGTTATTCCTACATAATTCAGTATCAGTTCCAGACATGGAGTGAGACAGGGACAGAATGGTAATCACCTCCTGTTTCTTCGACATGACAACTAGTGCATCAAGGGAAAGGCTATGCTGGAACCCCTTTTTCTGACTGTGGACACTGAGCATTTCAGGAAGTGCTGATGTAATTCTGAAGGTACTAGTGTGCTTTGGCTCTGAATCTTCCTCGAAGATAATATTTCCCTTTCCGTCTCAAAAGCAGCAGGAGTTAGCTAGCATAATTTGATCACGTGCTAGAGTAGATGGCTCCCTTAGATGCTACATTCTACCACTATTCTACACTGAGGAGTTAATTGTTGTAGCTGGACACAGTGCACCAAGTCCTTTTCACCCCGGCTTGCACAGAGCCATGCTGAGCCATTGTAGTCCCAAGATTGCACAAGAACCCAAACTAGGGCACTGTGCTTTTTGAAAAGCACAACAAGGGATGAAACCAAACCTCAGCGATAGAGGAAATGACATGCAACATCCCTTTTCTTCTGAACAATACACATGGTGGGGAAAACTTTTATACAGATCAGGCGCTGCCTGCCTATTATAGATGATTTCAAATGTTTTCTTGAGCACTGGGCTCTGAAGTATTCTTTCTGTCTCTGCATATTGTGGCTTTGACATCGCTTTTCTCGATGAACTCCGCATCTGACAGAGCAATCGGTGTCTTCAAATCTGCCCATGTGCAATTACATGGATGCTTTCCACCATCCTGCTCCTCATCTCGCTGTTATTGATCCAGTGCTCTTACGTTCGCTCCTCTCCAGTCACCCAGAGCAAAGCTCCCGACAAATTGGCCAGAATGACCAGCATTGAACAGGTCGCCAAGGAGGCGTGTTGCTTTCCCACTCTGCCGACTTTGTACTGAAGGAGAAAGCGAGAGTTCAAAATTCACTTAAGAGACAATCTCCAAGTAAGCAGTGAGATAACCAGCCCTACAAGGCTGCTCATCCTTGAAATCACCACAATTGATTTTATGTAGTTTGCTGTCAAAAACTACTTTATGTTCCCAAGACATGATCTTTTGCAGTTGGCTCTCTGAAGCATGTTTCTTTAAATAACCTTGCTGGATAGAACTGCTGAGCTTCTTGACATGACTGACATATTGATTATAAGTGATATGAGGAGCAAGCCGGATATACTATTTTCTTCTTTTAGGAGACATAACTAGAATTGCCAGACACAGACCAAGTGAGGGATACCCTCTGTCAGGGATATGCTTACCCTTTTTGCCTATCGTGAATATGGTAATCATGAAGAATATAGAACACCTGCTCTCATGATCATGTATAGCTGCTCTAAAGCATATACAATCAGACATAAATGCAATCCTATATAAACTCATGGAGGACAGATTAATTAAATAGAAACTCCATGCTCAGAGGCAGTATACCCCTGGATAGTAGTAGGTAGGGAGGAGGCAACAAAGGCTTTGGCCTTTCAGTCCCTGCATGTGGGCATTCCATAACATCTGCTTGGCTATTGTGGAAAATCAGATGCTGGATCCACTGATCTAATTCATTGGGATTCATTTTACATTCTTAATGTAGAAGAATATGTGTCCTGTGTGTGGCTTTGAACTTTACATCATATAATGCAGATACATGACATATGTTGGAACCTCTGCAGCAAGAATCATGCCTCTCCTTTGTAAAGTGGTGTGTGTGTTGGCCTCTGATATTTCCCTACAGGACAAATTCCCTCCCTGGGTGTTGCAACAACATGTTGAAAAATGTGGTAGCATGAAAGGATCATGCATTACTTTTTATCACATTTTTGTCCAAAGACACCCTCTCCCATGTAGAAAAATAAGCATAAGCATTGCGATTTTAATCACAAAGTATTCATGGGTTATGAAATTGTACCATCCTAATATTCAAATAATACTGCTGTCTGCACAATGCTTCTGTGGTTGAATAGGCCTGCTCTGGCCTGCAGGCCCTATTCCGCCCTGCCCTCCAAAGTTTTCCCAACACCTGGAGAGACTTTTCTTTCTCTCTCTGGTAGCCTGCTACCACCACCTGACCTTTGTAGGAATTGCCTGCTGGGGGGGGGGTCAGCTTCCCTTCCAAGTTCTGAGGCTTCTGTGTCTCCTGCTGCCCAGTGCCTGGTCACCACAGTGACCATTTACTGCCTTGTGTGCCTCTGGAGGAATAGCCATCTGCCAACTGCCTGCCTTCCCCCTGGCGCTCCTTTTAAAATAGCATGTCTGAGACGCTGGAGGTCTGTGTGGTAAGGAGAACCACTACCAGCATCAAAATGGTAAAGTATTTATTAAAAAGAAAATGTCCACAAGAACACTTTTAGCACAGCACCAAACTGAGCAAGGGATTCAAAAGAAATTGGTAAAATGCAAATCCTCTGTCCCTCTCTCTATACATGCCCTATCTGATGTTAAATTATAGGACAGTCTCCTAAAGCTTAGGAAGTTACAGATCTCTACAGAGTTTTGATTACCTTGAAGCATTCTGTAGCTCTCTGGGGTCATGGCCAATGGCTGCCTCCTTCAGAACTCAGTTAAGATTTCTGTCTGCCCTGATGGATCCAGCACAAAAGAGAGCTCCTCCTTGCTGTAGGACAAGGGAAAAATGAATGTGATTTCTGAATGTGAGTTCTGACATTTCCTCTGACATGTTTATATGCTGACAGATGCCACTGTGCCTTCATAAGAGTTTAATTATAGTATAGTCAGATTTTGGTATTTAGCCCAGATGGAAGAAATCTATAGTAGAACATATATATTTTATAATTGTATTTTTCTGTATAAGAAGTTATATCAAATAGAAGCATTATTAGAGGTCTCTGTGGATGGAATTAGGATGCAATAGAATGGAATGCTATTTGGAAATTACAAGAACACCTAACACTGGAAGTTATGTGGTATACAGATTTTCAGTGTTCTTAAAACAATGTATTTCCTTTGTAAGAAAGAGCATCTGGTACTGGGAAACCATTATCAGCTAGCTCTCCAAATGCGAGGAGGATGGAGACTAGCTTCACTGAGGCCAGAAAGGGTCCCAGTGTTCCCTAATGTTTCTCATTGTTGTAAAGTCAGATAAGCAAATGCAATCACTGACATACATGACCAGTATAAGGAGAGACCAATAAAGTTTAGAGTCAAATGATGCGTCCATGATGTTACCTTTGGGGAAGGGGTAAATTGAAAAGATTAGAGGGAGGACAGCAGTGAACTCCATAACCCAGCAGTCTCATCAGCGCCTGAACGCTTGCTCCGAGGACAAACCTTTTAAAAAAATGGCCAACAGCCCCATGAAGTACATATCCTGGCAGGCTCATCAGTGCTGGTGGGCATGCTCGAAGGACACACTTAAAAAAAAATGGCCTATGGGCTGATTCCCTGCTTGCTGCCATCTGATCAGTCAAGGATGGGTAAAAGTGCTTTGAAGAGTGCTAAAAGGGGTGAGTCTTATCAGGATTCTCTGTCACAAAATAACCTAGCTCAATTAGAGGCGGGGCAACAGTGGATTGAACTGCCCATCTGACTGCAGCCCAATTATGTCAAAAATCTACAAAGCAACTTATAGGAGAAAAGGTTTCTAAGTGCTTGTGTTCTGCTGAGAAACTACATGACCCATGCTCTTCTGTTGGCTCAGCGTGGAGCAGCCACTGTGGGCCATGTCACCATTTTAGCAGGGTGAGGACCCTCTCCCCATCTCACCTTATGAGCTGTTAGGGACTATAAGAACAACAGGCTGGCACAAACATATGGAGATGGGAGTTTCCTGGTAAACAAGACTTCTAGGGAATAAACATGAATACAAGACACCCCGGTGGATCAGACCAAATGTGAATTTAGTCCAGTATCCAATTTCTAAAAATGGCCAGCCAGATGCTTGTTGGATTATACTTTATTGGTGCATATTTATTTAGAAGTAGCATCCCTAATAGCCCAGACTAGTCTGATCTCATCAGAGCTCAAAAATAAAGCAGGGGCCATCCTTGGATGGGAGACCACCAAGGAAGCCTGGAGCTGCTAAGCAGAGGAAGGCAATGGCAAACTGCCTCAGCTCCTCTTTTGCCTTGATAACCTCATGAGGTGGAACTTCAGATTTCATCAGAGCTCAGAAGCTAAGCAAGGTGGGAACTTGGATGTGAGACCACCAAGGAAGGCCGGAGCTATTATGCCTTGATACCCCAAGAAGCGGAACTTCAGATCTCATCAGAGCTTGGAAGCTAAGCAGTCCCCAGAGGCTATGCCCTTGTGGTAGAGATGTAATTGAAACTTTACCTCATTTTGAAGTTGCTATTTGTATTTAGTCTATAAGAGCTAAATATATGTGGCCTTTATCAAGCAGGTTCCCTTGCTGTTCACATGATTTTAATCTGTTACACCTTTTGACTGGTAATGACAGGCATGTTACTTTGTCTACGGCAAGGTTTATCTTTTGTGCCCTTAGCACTTGGCAGGCGTATGTTAAAAATACCTCTGAGGTTAAGTCTTTGTGGGGTTGTTGTTTTATTAGTTTCACCAAGGGGCTTTGGAGCACATAGGCACTCTGGTTTTTTAACAGGAACAGGAAGCTAAGCAGGATCGGCAGGGGTCGTTTCGTAGAAAAAGAGCTAGGGGAACTCATTAGCATAACTCATTAGCATATGCCACACCCCTGACATCACCGGAAGTGTGTCATAAGGCCACACACACCACCCCCAATGGTCCCGGCCGGCGGGAGTGCAAGGAAGCCCCGCGAAGGCCCTCCCTGGCCCCAGGCAGGCAGGGGTGGGGAGAGGCAGGGAGGAAGCAACTTACCCTCCCTCTTCTCCTGCCTCCTCCTGGCTGAATGAGGGCCGGAAGCGGGGCGGCTGGAAGCAGGGGGCGGGGCTTCATCATGTGCCCCGCCCCCGTACTTCACCTGGGGGAACTGTGATCCCCCGCGATCCCCCCCGAAATGACCTCTGAGGATCGGTACTTGGATGGGAGACCACCAAGGAAGAGTGGGGCTGCTATGCAAAGGAAGACAATGGCAAACCACCTCTGTTCATCTTTTGCCCTGATAACACCATAAGGTGAAACTTCATGGGATTGCTATGAGTCGGTTGTGACACAATGGCACACTCTAGCTTCTATTTATTTAGAAATTGTATATGCTGCTTTTCCAGAGACCTGCTCAAGGTGGTTCATAACTAAAACAATATAATAAACCCAAACCATTAAAAACAAATACCGAGCAGCCTAAAATGATAACCATAAAATGATCCTCAGATTAGAAGCAAACCATCAAAACTAAAAACTATAGAAGCCCTTAGCTCAAGGAAAAAGAAGCTTGACATCTAGAGATAAGGGGAGGCTCACAAAAGGAGCCTCAAAGACCAATGCTTTCCCAAGACACGGTGCCACCACTACAAAAGCCTATCTTGTTTCAGAAAGCTGATTTGAACCACTGCTTATATATGTAGAAAGTAAGTGTGAGGAGAGAAGGCCAATGAGGCAGTCCTGAAAACGTGCCACTTCTTTGGCCACCATTTTACCAACAAATGCACCTCTTTGTTGTATAATTTTTTTTGCTCAGTTGCATATAAGTTTGCAGTCAATGTACAACCATGTGACAGCACACAGAAGATTGTGCATGAATGCTTGCTACTTTTGGGCCACAGAGAAATCTAGAAACATTTCATACTAGCAATCTCAGAAATATATTTGCAATCATCTACCGAATTCAAGAGTCCACATTTGACGGTAGAAACTACTATAGAGAATTAGTGCATTAGTCAGAGAAAATATTTATTTACAAGAATGTAAAAATTATGTTACAACATTTGGAACAAAACCATTATGAATGCTTATACAAGAACACAAAGGTAAGATTTTCAGTGCCTGAATGCAAACGAAGTATTGGCTTTAAGGG